ACCTGAAACTCAATGAAATAATAATAATAATTTTGCTTTATTCCAGAAACAGTACTAGTGGTACAGTGTGGAATTTTCAGCACATATCTACAATATTTGCATCCGATTTTATCAAACATTTAAAATAAGTATTAAACAAACAAAAAAGTCTGAAGACACCAACAGCAAAAAACAAAAACAAAAACAGGATAAACACAAAATAATTATAAATGCGAAAAGTACAAAAGTCTACCAAAGTCTAATGCAGTGTTTGTGGTGGTAGTGTGAGTAATCCTGAATAATACAAAATTTATTTTAAGGTGGTGACTATGGCGTTCACAACCAACGATTGTCAGTTTAATATTGCCGAAAAGTATAGAAAAGAAGAAAAAAACAGCCACAAAACTAATATTACATGATGGTTAATGACAGGACAATTTTGTAATACTCATAGTGCTAATATAGTCGGAACCAGTAGATACTCAAAAGAAGAAATAGAGTAAAGTAAAAAAGTAAGCCAATGTTAATGATTCAGGTAGCTAAGTATATTTAAGAAGGTGTTCACTGTGGAATACAAAATAAGAGAGAAATAAAAGAGCCTGAAATTATGTTATTAACAACAAAGCAAGTCATAAGTTTCACGTTTAACATTGTCTTTGTCGCTTAGAACACGGGCCAAGTATGGTTGAGTATCGTTGAGTTCCTGTACTTCGTTGTACGAGCATAGATTATTTTATACTGATTTCCGGTTCTACATGATGAGATACAAGGCTAGAGTTGGGAATAGCAGGGATGTTGGGGGTTGGAGAGTATGGTTTTTGACCATTTTTCGCATGTATTCAGATGCCTATCAACTAAAGTAGTGACGAGCTGACTGAGTATTACACCACTAGTCCTACTGACTACCTTCAACATCCTTCTCAGGATGGTATAGTCCTTTTTCAGTAGCCCAAGAAACACTAACTGGGAGCAGTAAAGTAGAATAGGGCAAGATACGATAGTTGAGAAATTGTGAAAGTAGAGGTTGGGTGATTCCAGATTGTCTAAGTTTCTTAATGTAGTAGGTAAGACAGAACACTTTCTTAGAAATCATTAGGATACGAGATGACCAAGTAAGGTCGGAAGATAGAACTAGACCGAGGTATTTAGCATTAGACTTAGTTTCAATTTTAGTCCCTTCAATGCAACAGTTTTCATGAGAACTTACTAGTGTTTGTAGATCTCGTTTATGCCTAAGGGAGAAGTCAATAGTCTGGCATTTTGAGGGATTCAACATGAGACCATTTAGTTTAGACCACTCACTGATGTCCGACAGGAAGCTATTTAATTTGAGACAGTCTGACTGAGACTTAATGGGAAACGATACAGACAGGTCGTCTACATATTTGACGGAGTCGATTTCATCTGAGAGAGGTAAATCATGTAAGAAGAAGGAAAAGAGAAACGGAGAAAGAACAGCACCCTGAGGAACTCCAGCTTCAGTAAGCAAAGGAGAGGAAGATACACCATTATATACAGTGTACTGCATCCTATTAGAGAAGAAAGAGTGTAGCCAGTTGATTGCCCAGGGCTCAGTTTGTGTAAGGCTAACCTTGTTTAACAATAGGCCTCTGGGTACAGAGTTGAAAGCAGATGTATAGTCAAGGAACGTACAACGGACAAACTTGGCCCCTTTGTCTAAGGAGGATACAGTGTTGTGATGAAACACAGCAGCAGCGTCCAAAGTACTTCTACCCTGTTTGTAAGAAAACTGCTTTGGATCGTTTGAGAAACTTAGGGAGGGAACAAGTTTTAGTAACAATAGTTTCTCCATGAAGAAGTAGGCGTTTCTAAACATTGGACGAATGAGAGGTATATAGGCGTGATTTATTAAAAAAAAGACTCGAAAGAAGAGGATACTGATGAAATTTGCAACATGAGGAGTACTCTTGTCGACACTGTAGGTAGGTACCGCTAAAGCTATTAGCATTTTTATCCATGCAAAAGGTGCATTCAGTAAGTTGTATTTTAGATTATTCTACTGTGTAGCCCAATTTTATTCGCAACTGTGCGTCAGACATAGTTTTGCAGATGTTTTCCAGGCTTTCGTTAATTAACCTGAAAATTAAAGAACAAATTGATAATTGGGTCTCATTACTGATCAAATATTTATTTTTAGTCACTGTGCTGTCCATAACTTTTACTAGGCATGTGTTACGTCAAGATGCCTGATAGCATACGATGGGTTGGTTTACAGTTTATACCCCTTAACACTATGGCAACCAACATTTTGTATTTTCATCTGTATCAACTCTTGTACGTATCCGATATAAAATCAATTTGGTCAGATGCCTTACGAATAGAGCAAGACTTATTTGTACAGATGACTCCCTAGAAAATGAGCCAGGATACATCCAAAATACGCTTGTCCAAATAGGTTATTCTAGTAGATTTGTTAGGAGACACATGAATACCAGGTACAATAGAGAGAAACTGATAACAGTTAAAAAGAAACAAGTGTTCATGAAATTGCAATTTAACGGAGACGTGGCTATTGAAGTCTTACATCTGAGATTATCGAGAGCGATAAAACGGACTTATGCTGCCACCACCCTTTGTTTGTCATTTTCCAGTTGCCGACCAATTTTGATTGCTCAAGTGAAAGATAAGCTACCTAGTTGTGCCACTTCGATGTGTATTTATAAATTTAGTTGCTCCTGTGGAGAAAGCTATATAGGGCGAACAACTAGACAGCTGAACAAACGCATTAATGAGCATCTTCCTTCATGGTTCGGAAAAGGTCAAATAAAATCCATACGAAGTTTTTTTTTGGCTCATTTGATTGATGATAGCGGTCACCAAGTGGACAAAAATAGTGCCACCTTCAAAGTTATCTATCGCATTCCACCGAGACTTTCGAACGGAATTCGAATCCGTCTTTTACACCTAGCTGAAGCTATGGGAATTCGAGAGAACAATCCTAGTCTTTGCATACAAAAGAAGTTTGTTCTACCTTTGTCTCTCCCTTGGCCTAGGTGAACTGTATTCAAAAACCCTCCCACCCTTTCTTATTTTCCACCTCCTTTGTACTTTTATAATATTTATTTAAACTCTGATTATCGTTCCACTTCACCTTGTAAGATTTGACCCGATTTATTTATACACTTATATACATATACTATCTTTGTTATTCTTATCGCCAACTGCATAAACCTTATTATCAATATTTTGTTATCATTATAATCATCGTTATTAACTACGTTCAAAGCATTTACCACATTATTATTATTCAGATTATTATTTGGTCCACAAAATAACCGTCATTGGTTAAAATTTTATATATAAATCTATGTAAATTAGAGTAAAGCCTGAAGAAGATCTAATTGAAAACAATATTGTTCGCTTATATGTCTTGTTCTAATATTATAAATGGGAATATTTAAAGATTTGAAATCACATATATTTTAACAAAAGTAGACTAATGTTGAAAGTCTGAGGTCAAATTTTGATCACAGTTCATATTGAAATTTTGTTTTGTTTTGTTTACTATACCTATTGATAGCTGTTTATTGATTCACATGACTGGACAAACAATTTAAAATATATGTACTTTTATATATAAACATACTATTTTATTTATTGATTTATTATACATGTTGATTACTGTTGCATGACTCATGATTGGACAAAATTTAAAGAACATGAGTTGTTCCTTTTATATATAAACCTATGTTTATTTTAATTCGATTAATTTCCCTGAAGAAGTTCGGACCAGATTGACGAACACACAGGAAACGTTGGAATTACTCATTTCAATCTCGCTGAGACTTTACAAATATAAATTTTTTACAAATGTCTACTTCTCACTCGGCGCCCAAATATTTTAGAACTATTCTGTCAAATCTTGACGACAGTTCATTTGAATTATTTTGCAATCGAATTAAATTAACAAAGAAACTGTATAACTGGCACAATCATCGTGTTTTCACTCTCCGTTGTCTGCAACAGAATGCATATCCGAAATCCGTAGATGTCGAGTCACCTGACAACTCCAGTAGGTCGAATAAAGCAGCTCAATCTTCAGAAAGAAGGCAAAGCAATAAGTCCGACAGGGTGCTTATACTAAACTCGAATCCTAAACACCATAATTTTGAAAATACGTCTAATCATAAAATTCTAGATACTAGCAGTTTGAACAGACATGAAGGCGTGATGTTAGCTGATGCATAGGAGAATCCTTATTAATAAATAAAAATGGATATGTATCACTAATTATTAATACTTGTTCAAAATTCTCGACTGTCCATATCTTCTAATGGAAACGTTAAGAAATGTTTTGCAACTGTTTACCCACACACACATACACACTCTGTTTAAAGTGTTTAACAAAGGTAGACCGATATTTGTAAGTCCGAGGTCAAATTTTGATCATAGCTCATAAATATTTTGTTTATTATACTTGTTGGTACTTTTTGAATGACTCATGATTGGACAAATTTTTAAAAACAAATGATGTTCCTTTTTATATATAAACCTATGTAATGTTAATTTCGATTAATTTCCCTGAAGAAGTTCGGACCAGATTGCCGAACGAAACGTTGGAATTACTCATTTCAATCTCGCTGAGACTTTACAAATATAAATTTTTTACAAATGTCTACTTCTCACTCGGCGCCCAAATATTTTAGAACTATTCTGTCAAATCTTGACGACAGTTCATTTGAATATACTATCTTTGTTATTCTTATCACCTGCATAAACCTTATTATCAATATTTTGTTATCATTATAATCATCGTTATTAACTACATTCAAAACATTTACCACATTATTATTATTATTTGATTCCCAAAATCACCGTCATTAGTTAAACTTTTATATATATAAATCTATATAAATTAGAGTAAAGCCTGAAGAAGATCTCTAATTGAAAACAACAATATTGTTCGCTTATATGTCTTGTTCTAAAAAAAACAACGAATAAACGATTGACATCAAACATTCACACACACACACAAACGTAAACACAAAAATTAGGCACAACTAGCATCTTATTTTTTTTACTGTAAGACGTAAATCCGGTCGACAACATTGCTCCAATGATGCATTTGCAGGATGGCTTGGATAATTAAATATTAAAACATCTCCACTAGGTGTTTTAGTAGCTATTATATCTGAATTTTGTGGCATAAACCGAGCACGATTCACCTCCCCTTCATGATTGATTTTCATTGATATTTCCAATTTGCCAGATGGGAAATAAAATCCACCGAAATCACCTCGTTGACTATCATAAGCACTTGCATCGAATTCTGCCTGATCATTTGGCAGATGAACTGTAACTATCAGTAGGTGATTTTGTTCATCCGATGTGTGAGTCCCGAGTATCAAGTGGTGAACGGAATAATCCCTTCCAGTCCTATTGTAACGACAGAAGGCAAGAGTCAGGCAACAGATCGTTTATTAAGGAAATCAAAGCATATTTATATATTGTCATGTAAATTATCATAGATTAGTTAAGCAAACAAACACAGTCTTCTGATTGGTTGTTTCTCACTGAGAATTAATCTTTCATCTATTTGTGACTGTTTCTTGAATGTCAGATCATCTATATGTTAACTGCATCCGCCTACGCGAAGTCTGCTGTGGTCGGTTTTGAATTAGTCTTTGTTCATATTTTCTCACGACAAATCTTGAGAACGTAAATATTGACGTAAATTACTGTCTACCAATTTGGCTAGTAGACAGCTCTCACCACACTCGTCACCTCGTCAAATAGTTTGGACTGAAGTCGGCTTGATCTTCTTGGTGCTGGCGTCATCGTTGGCTTGTCACACTCTATCCATTTCTGGAGCTCGCTGATGTTCACCCATTTCTCTGTGCTTACCATTGCGATTGTGTCTGCGTAACCCCATCATCTCAAAGTGACCATATGTGACCCTTCCCACTTCTTTGAAAACTGTTTGCCTGACCCTGCCGCACATTCGTAGGTATTTCGCCTCACACGTTCATAAGCTGCTTTCTCCCGACCTCCCAGCAGCGTCCCAAGTAGCAGCCTCATCGCTGACAGATCTTGAACGCCACTCAACTGCGAAGAAGCCTCAAAGTCCTACCCGAAGACCTGTATGTCTCCATCAAAAACTGTCTACCAATTTGGCTAGTAGACAGCTCTCACCACACTATCAAAACAAAAATGTGTATTTGTGAAGGAGGAGAAGAAGAAAAAGAAGAGAAAACAACAATAACAACAACTACCACCATCACCTACTTTTCTACAGATGGTAACCATTGAGCAGTTAAACTTGGCCATTCAAGACAATGTGACATAAGCATATCGTATAAGAAGGGTGTATTTCGCTTCCATATCTTATACTCTTCATTGATCACTCTCTCTTCAATGATATCTTCAGAATCTGTTTGATGCATCTATAATATATATATATATATATATATTGTGTAAGCAATTAGCACACAAGTGTGAAGCATAGTCGAATTACCATCATTATGTTTTGCCACTGACCGCTACCACTAGATATGGCGTATATTATAGCACTACGAATTCTTAACTACCTACCTATAAAAAGAAAGACAAAGTAGATATAGCAGTAAATTTTAAGTTACAAAAATATCCGATAGACATATGAATAAAGTTCACCTTCAGTGAGCAACTGTTACAAAAACACCAACCATTTCCGACTGACTGACTGGTTTCAACATAGAACTAGTTTGCACAGATGTGCACCAGTTCGAGTTGCCAAACTCCCCCCCCCCGCCATCTACCACACAAACCAAAAGAGTAAAGAGTGATTCAAAACACACACAAACACAGAGATAATAAACACAAGTGTGAGTATGGCAAAAAGAATAGGTATATGGAAGAAGAACAACAACATAGTTTTATTGGATTTGATCAACCACAAAGTAAGTGTGAATGCATCTGCATCAGCGCCAGCCATCACCGAGAACGATTTTGAGCGAGCCAGCCCTATCACCAATTATCTCCGGCCATTGGATTTCACCATCCCGAGGACCCCAACGACACCCCAGACCGAACGCTGCTTCCTTGACGTGGTGGTTGGGCTTGAACACCGCAATGACCCAACAAGCTATACTGGCTGAGACTTATGTCGCTTGAGGTCCTACCATGCCAGAAAGGTTGTTTGGATAGCGGTTAGACAAAAAGCAGTTACTCAACCCAATACTATGACTCAAAGTAAATCACAAAATATCATGCCAGATCGGTCGGGGCCCGGATTAACAACGACCGCGCTTCCTGCTGCCGTGTCACAGGGCAGAAGTGATAAATACGCTACTGAGACACACCAAATGAAAAACAACAAACAAAAACAGGCCATGTGTGACCGGCCTCAAGCAGTTGTCCCCTGGACTCTGCGGTCACGCAACCAACTTCCACGGTGTGGGCAGCTGGGAAGTAACAATCGCCCTCACAATGCGAGGTGCACGCGAAACCTCTCTAATCCTCACTCATCTTTGTCTTCATCTTCATCTCTATTATCTTGCCTTCCTTCCACTAATGCAACTCCTCTACATGATGGCTCTTCACTCTGTGTGCACTGAAAACGACGGAAGCCAAAAAACCACCATCGATAGTCTCCTAAAGCCACGCAGTCAGTCAGTCAGACAGTCTACACCTTCTCCCTACGTGGCTGGCTGGCTAAAATTAACTGTTGTGGATTTCATTGACTGTTGGTGAAGTCATGTTTTGGTTTGACCGCCACCACCAACTAACCCTTTTCCAACCTCATCCATCCTATGTCAGTAGTCAACTAATACTGCGCTTCGGTCGAGGAAGCCGATGGCTATTCATGAATGCGCAACACATGCCCTAACTACCTCAATCACTGTCACTACACAACCTAGTCGATTGATTTACCCTCCTCCACCCTCACCTAGCAGCATTCGACCGATGCCTCACCTCAATATTACTCAGTATGTTATACCAACTACCAACTAACACAGGGGGAAGATGGAATGCAGGCACCAGTGATGAAACACAACTACCTAGCTAAGCTTTGCATATGTTCCACTTTCAGTGGCCATGTGTCACAGCCAGCCAGCCAGTCATAGAGGAGGACACAACGAACTGCTACTGAGCAGTACACACGCCTTTTGGTCGACAGCCAACAAGTAAGCCGGATATCACATCTACTAAGCACACACACCAAGGCAGAGATGGCGTGAATTGACTAAAAAGTGCCAAACCAGCGTTGTGCATCCGTATCTGGCTGAGATTTCGTCAGCCATCAGATCAACCCGTTGGCGTTGGCTGGGCTGAAGCAGCCCCCCAAGTAAGTGAATTGGTCACTAGGCCTCACCGCGATTTCTATATGAACTAAGGTGCCTTGGAAAATTTTCTGCAGACGACACCATGATTGTAGTGAACTGAAGAAAGTGATTAAAAAGGGTTAAGTAGACATAATGAACGATACGCGAAACGGATTCCGCATGATTCCTAGCAGTGTTTGAACAACAGATGCTCTCATTTTAAAACAGTGATTACTGAATAAAGAAGTATTCCTTTCGATAACCTGCTTTTCATCACTCTCTTCAGTTCACTACAGTTATGGTGTGGTCTGCAGGAAATTTTCCAAGGTACCTAAATAAGCCTAGTGACAGCATCGTTCCAACTACAAACAATCGGGAAGAATTAGAATGTCAAAACCGGAATGGAAAAGGCGAAATAAACCTGCTTCATCATTGTAAAACCGTTGTGAAAATCTGTACTGTACTCAGCATGAACAACAAATTCGGATTCTCAACACCAATGTTAATTTAGTTCTATGTGCATCAAAAACTTGGCATTTTGAGCAGACCAGTACAGATTTTATATCAACAGCTGCCTTCACTGGCTGCATTCTGAAGATCAGATGGTCAGAAGGGATTAGTAACACGGAACTCTGCAGTGCAACGAATCAGACAACAACCCATTGATCAAAAGATATTCCGAAGAAAACGGAGATGGATCGAGTACACGCTGAGATGGGTGGATGACATCGCACTCGAGTGGAACGCTAATGGGTAACAATGAGATGGACATCGATTACAGGATAGCATGGAGATCGTAGCAGATGAGAGCTTATGGGCAATCATGCGGCTGACTAAAGAGGACTGCAGACACTGGCTTAAAGTTAAGATGTGCTGTTGAAGCCCTATGTCCCACCCGGAGCCCAAGGGAATAATAATACATCATACAGGGAGTGAATTTCAATCGGCTGTTATTAAATTGTAGTACATTACATCATAGGAATAACCGAAAGTCATATTAATATATGTGTAAAACTTGGGCACTGTGGTGGTGGTAGTAAGTAATTCCATATTAGTTTGTTTACTAGATATATCACACAGTGAAACAGTATTAGTATTTACTGGATGACGTTTCGAACAAAATTTATTGTTCATAATCATATCAATTGTAATCACACGACTTTGACACTTGAGTTTTATAGTTTTCTTGGTTTTCTCCTATTTGTCGTCGTTGGGGGTAGTAGAATTTTCCAGATGTCCGGCTGGACAGGTGTTAGCATATTCCTATTACACGTGTTGATTCACAGTTGATTCGATAAACAAAGCTTCCGTTATCAATCTTCCCCACTCACCACCCTGTGACATCAGATTTTACAACTGTCATCCTATCCCATCCAGCCTATTGTATGGTTGTGTGTAACTGCATGAAGTGAGTGGTATAGCTGAACTATTCTCTAGATTTCTTATCTTATTTGGATCAACCAATCTAGATTTTGCTAGGTTTTTATGCTCGACTAGTCTGACTCACTGCTCCTGTTCTACTAATTTGACCTATGTATTTGACCTGACAATCATCGCAGACAGGGTATTAGATAAACTAAACTGTTTTGTTTTAAAGGCACCACTGGCAGGATTGATCCTTTAACCGACAAAGCACGTTTCTAATTGGGTTTGTGGTTGGTTTGAATCCCAGCCACTTTTATTCCTGTCCACCTTGTTAAGAATTCTGCATAAGGTGGTTTCCGCGGTTCCTTCCTTGTATGGAATTACTACTGATGATTTAGATTCCTGATGGTTGGTGTTGTCTTGCGCACATTTGACTTGCATGTCGTCATTAATATTATTATTATCACTACTATCATTATTTTTTTTACATTTCCTTACGTATTTCCTTACTAGATTATCCGGGTAATTATTAAGTCAGGAAATATGTAAGGAAATGTAAAAATAAAATAAATAATGATAGTAGCGATAGTGATAACAATAATGATAACGATAATAATGATGTTATTATTATTATTAATGACGACACCACAAACTCAGTCAGAAACAAGCTTTGTCGGTTAAAGGATCAATCCTGCCAGTGGTGCCTTTAAAACAAAACAGTTTAGTTTATCTAATACCCTGTCTGCGATGATTGTCAGGTCAAATACA